GGCACTAGATAATGATCCAATGTTTTTTTTTATTATTATAACATTGAATGTGATTCTAAATATGAGATTTAAAATTTTTTAATCTATTTTATTTTTTATATTTATCATTTTTTCTTCAATTAGTTTACCAAATTTATGAACTGAAATATAGTCTAATATTATACAAAAATATTTCGGACAAATGATATCATATTTATCATAATTAAATAATTTATTTAATTGTCTTTAACATATACAAATTAGCTAAGAATTTTTATATTAATAATGGGAGGGAGTAGTTTTTTCAATATATGCATGCTCTCCCATATGTTTGCAAATAAGTTGTGTTAAGTTGATTTTTACTTAACTGCTTGCTTGAGATTAATGGGTGTGATGAATATGAAAGAAGATAAGGAATTACTAATTTGGAGTGTTTATATAGGAGTTAGGTTGAGCATCACGAACATTTTGGTTAGGAAGGCCAAGTATCGTGTGGGGTTTAAGCTAATACCAAAATAATTAATAAATTTTAAAAGATTGATTTTGTTATTAAATAAAATATAATTACCTTTATTCAAAATATATTCATTTGAAATACACTAGTAAAAATCCGAATTAACAATTTTTTAAACAATGATATGGAATAATTATACATTATTTTTTTACAAAATATTAAATTAAAAATCATATTAATTTAACGGGACTTGAGTCTTTGGCTGTTCTGAGAGTGAAACTTTAGAGTACTTGCTCATAACTTGCTTTTTTGCTAAGTCAATGTGGTTTGGTTGTTTTTCTATGAGATTTCAACTGCATAATTTCAATAGTTTCATTCAATGGGCAAGAGATACATTTTTTCAGCTGGATAAAGATGGTAGACATGATCTAATTTAAAGAATTATAATTCTCATCAATACTCTCTACAGTAAAAGGAATTCTGTACTGCATGAAGGTAAGTCTTAGCGACTGAAAGCCGTAATTAAAGAAATTTTACAAAACCTACAATTCATAAGGTTAGCCTTTTATTGTCTTTATAATAGACCTGTTCAACAACGCTTTGTGGATCATTTTGACATCAATTCTCAGCAAAGGTTGTTCCATTATTTTATCGAAAGAGTAGAAGAGGACTATAAAGGTTTTCTGTTATGGCATCATATGTTTGAGAGGTTCTCTAGTTCATAAATTTTCTTGCTTGCACTTTAAGGCAGTTCATGACTTCTTCTATGCTCTTTGTTTTCATACGATGATTTATTGAATTTTGTCACATAGTAATTTTAAGCCACAGGAACCTCTTCTTGTCATTTGCGTGAAGACAAAGTTGATCAATTTGCATTTTTTCTATGTAGAATCTTCTTCCATTATTGCACAGGATATTTTGATGATGTTCAACTTCGTTCTAAATTATGATATTTGTTCTTCTAATAGTGATTTAATAAGGAATTTTTTTTATTTTCCATTTCTAGTCATTCTCTGATGCAGTACCATAAATTCTGCTCTTTATTATTTATATATTGTATTTTTATTAAAAAATTAAAAAATAATTTACAATTTTCAACATAATTAAGAGACTAAAATTTTTAAAAAGTTTGCTATAATCATGAAGTTAAATTATTATATAAGTTATATAATTTTGGGTCCCTGGGGTTTACTCTCATTTTGGCTTTGGTCTTTCAAGTTTCAAACAATAAGTTTTGGTTTCTTAAGAGACCAAATAGTTCAAGTTTTTATTGAATTATAAGGATCAATGTTTTAAATAAAAAGAAACCTAAGAGACCAAAACTTATAATTTAAAATTTAAAAGATCAAAATTAAAATGAGAACAAATTGGAGAGACCCAAATTTTTATTTAACCCAAATTTTTATAAGATCAATCCTTATTAATAAAAGAAAATAATAGATATAAAGAGTTTGACTCCAGTTTTTCTCTATATGTTTAACTACTCCTCCGGTCCTAATTATAAGACCCAATTGACTTATTTGAGAAAATTAAGGAAGTAAGTTAAGTTGGTTATTTATAATAAATAAGTGTTGTCATTCTTAAAATATCCTTGCTAATTAAGTATATTGGCTAAAACTATCATTATTAGAAGGATTATCTTGGAAAAAAATGCATAAATATAAGAGACAAAATGGATTGGGTCTTATAATTAGGACCAAATAAAAAGTCAAATTGGGTCTTATAATAAGGACCGGAGGAGTATATTGAAAAACAAGCTGAACCAAGCAAACAGCACATGATTTGATTTGCAAATTAGATTAGACTATTTAATCACTCTCAAATATGTTTCGTGGCATGTAAGATTAAAATTCTTTAATAAACTACTTAATCACTCTCCCCCTGCACGCCCTCTCTCGTTATATATAAAATAATAACATTCCATACAAAATGAATTTTTTTCCTTGGTAAAAATACAAAATGATTGTTAATTTCAATTGTCTTCTATGTTCCATGGGAGATATTCAAATTTTCAAAAGAACCAGACTACATTAGCCTAGAGATTTTTTTTCTTCTCTGAGGCCATTGATATTATACCCGCGCGGGAGTCAAAAAAAGTTTTTAAAAAGCATGTAAAAGAACAATATTTGTACATTGTTAATAGATGTTACATTTATATAATAATCTAATGATAATTTAAAAGAAAATAACAGGTTAATTCTGATTTTATTAAAGCAATAATAATAGTAGTAGGAATCCATATATTTTTATGTAATATAAAATTTATTTTTAAAACTTTATGCCATATATGAAGCTCGCGCTAGTTATATAACTAACAATGATCGTCAATAATGCAAGAACAAGAAATTACGTGTTAGTTTTTTCCTCTTGTCATGTGTACAGGCATGCTAGTTATTCATGCAATTTTTTTTCCAGAAAATAAATATGACAAAAGTATTTTTTTTTTGATATAACAACTAATTATTTTTTAAAAAGATATTCATATATCAAGTTTTCATATACTTCATTCCATTACTAACCGACAATCCTTGGCGTAATGCATGCCCTTTTTTAAACTCAATTAGGAAATTAGGAATAATATCCATGACATATGGAACTAGCCATTGATAATTTGGATTTAAATTAGGTTAAGTCTCAATTGGGTCCTAAATAAAGTTCCATTTGGGGGAAAAAGCTCCAAGGAGATTTGCTTTTCTTAATGCAGAAGACTTCAACTTTCGAGTGGAAACTTTTATATAAAAGGTATCATCAATTAATATAATCATCACTGGTCATGCATAGACATTTTAACATAGACTAAGTAATCTTTTTGGCCAAAAAGAATGATTGCCCATCCAGTATTAAGAGTTATTTATCTAATTTGATTAAATTACTGATAAAAAAATTAAAAAAAAATAAATTATTTAATTATAATATGTGTGATCTAATCTTTCTAAACTAATTCTGTATAATATTATTAAATAATATATTATTTTATGAATAATAAAATAAATTAAAATATTTTATTTTGGACAAAAAATAACTACTTTCCCACTTCATGTATGCCTCGGCTTGCAAAATGGCCCTTCGGTACTCAACCAATTAATGGCATCATCAATGTCGTAACAATATCCTCTTGCCAATTGGGGTTTGGAGGGCTTTCTTCTTTATTATATTAAGATTTGGTTTTAATTGGTAAGGGGAAAAAACATTTGGTTCCAATATTGTCTACTTTCACATATATAAAAAATGAAACTATATTTACTTAAAAAAATGAGTAATTTAACCGATGATCGTTATAATGGATGCATGTGGAAATTTCTATTCCTTGCTTGCAAAAAAATTACTATCTCTCAATTAAATATAGAAGCTGGATAATTAACTTATAAATCTTAAAGAAATTATTTATTTATAATAAATACATGTTAATTTTTCTAATTAGAGTACTCTTTTTAATAATTTGTATTTGATACTACTTTTCTTTAACATATGTAATTAATAAGGAGAGTTCAATAAAAAGTTATAAATTTAAGAGATAAAACAAATTAAAATCTTATATTTAAAATCAAAACAAATCCTTTCACTAATTTTTGTATTTGGGACAGGAGGTAGCATTATCTAATTTACAAGGATATGCATGTTATCACATCTTCCTTTTGCACCTTTATTTATAAAATAAAATAAGAAGCTGGACATGTATTTTTGTTTCTTTAATTTATATCAAATTTTACTTTGACTTCTTAATTTTTATAAATTATATTTTTTAATGAAAATAAACTACCTTTTTTAGTCTTCTAATTTTAACGTAAATATTTTTATTAACAAAAAATATTTTTATTAAAAATATGTTTTATAAAATTAGTATGCGAAACTAAAATATCATATAAGTCAAAATAGTGGATGTACTCTTTTACCTGGAAAAAAAAAACAAATTCCATGTGGCATAAAGTATCCTCCATCATTATTATATAGACTGTTTTCTTTGAAGTATTGATGATAAAAAAAATAAACTTTCTAAATTAAGTTTAGTCTAAACCTAAATTCTAAACATCGAATCAATTAACATATTGTTTAAGGAACTAGAATCTATAGTTATACTATTGATTACTAGATTCTAGCCCTTGAACAAGGAGTACGCTATTGTTTCATCTAACGACACGGTGCTTGCATATAATATAGAACATTCCCATTTTCACAATTTAAATTGCTCCCATTTTCCTTGAATTACATTTAAATAATTATAATAAAATATAATAAAAATTAAATAATTTAAATTAAATTCAAACAATCCAAAAGAAATAAACATCTTGAGAATCTGCATGTGAATGGCTTAGTTTCTGATACAAATCTCAGTAATTTTAATAGGGAGCGAATTGGACTGTCATTTTCCTTGACACCTCCAATGGGCTGGGCCAAGGCCCATATGTAGTGGATCTCGATAAATTCTCAGCTTCTGGTTAACAAGAGGCCTAAAAATCATCACCCTCGAGGAGGGTGCCCACCCGGCAACGGTCATATGCCCTGAAAGGTAAACGACGGCGTTGTTGTCTCTACCGGAAATATATGAACACTTGGATCATTGATTATTTTCCCTCCCATTCCGCTTCTCCATCAACTCCAAAACCTAGCTAGTCGAGCTTTGTGTCCAGTTCTGCAAGTGCAAATTCAGGTAATGCTTCTCCTTTTCCTTCTAGCGAAGGGTTATAGAACTGCAGTGTTTTCGTAAACGATGTGGAATTTTCGCAATGCATGATGATATTCTTCAATTCTTTCATGTCCTCCAGTTCTTCCTGTACTGTGTTGCTGTTGGAGGATGGATCAGAAAACACTGGCTGAAGGGGAACAAAACGTTTTGAATTTTAAGTGTGCGAAGATCCTTCATGGAGCTGATAAATCTATCGCTTGTCAGACTCCAGAGAAGACTAGTGAGCCCTTACCCGCCAAACTCAAGGAAGGATCCACACAGCTTCCAGAAACGTGAGTGCCTAATTGCTTGTGAATTGCGTCCCTTGAAAAATTTTCCTGTAGGAAGTAATTATTTGTTTGCTCTTTTTTTCCTCATCTGTGATTGAACTGTATTTTGAGATTTTCTTTTGTTTTTTAAATTTCTGAGATTTCAGATACAAGGCTTTAGAAGATTTGTTTGACTCTATGAGTTGTTCACTGAGGTTGCTTCGTCTGTGCAAAAAATCTACCACGTTTCAAAACATCTGTTCCCAGGTTGAAGTTCTTGCTAAAAGGTAATTGAAACTTTTGCTGCTGTTTTAGTTATATTTATCTTCTGCATTGTTTTATTTTCCGATGTCCCTGAGATAACTAATGGATCCCATTGAAGGGCTTGGGTTTTTATCCTTTCCTGAATTTCTCTTTCAAATTCAGTTCTCATTTCTCACTATTCTTGGTTGGCATGTTGTGCTGCTGCTATTTTCTCTTCGCAGAAAATTCTTGTACAGGGATCTTGGGCAGATAAAGTATATACTTCCTGAAGCCATATGCATAGAGAAGGTATTAGTACATGATAATAGAAACTTGTGTATGAAGCCTGATTTGAAGATCACCTTGGTACATGAGGTTGTGCTAGGACAATCTAAAGAAACTACTTATGTGGCTCTCCGGCAACTTTTTGGTTTTAGGCTGCTTGAGTTCTTCAATACGCATCCAGAGGTATCATTCCAATATTGTGTTGTTATGGCTTATTGTATTTGTTCTGTCTAAAGCTGTTATGACAACCATAGCAATATTTTGGGATCGTCCTATAGGTCAAACTTATCTGATTTGCTTTTATGTAAATATCAATTTAAATTCTCGTGGTCATGTGGCTGGATTGGTAAACAAAATAGCATGGAATGAGAAGTGTCCCTTATGTCCTTAGATCAAAAAGGTAATAAAAATAAATAATTACTGTGGAGTGACGATAATAGGAGCGTAATAGATATTATGTACTTCTCTGATCCACAATATAATTCCTTTTTCCTTAGTTTGGCTTGGTCCAAAATATAAATCCAGTTTGATAATATTTAGAGCATTTAATATTTGTCTCCCTATTTTCCCCTTCTATACAATTAAACTTTATAAGTAATTAGTCATAATAATTAATCTAGCATTGACTTTTGTCAATGGCATATTTGGATATCTATTCTTTACATATTTAATATTATAACTGCCATTTAACTAATATTTTTTGGTCCATGTGAGGTGGTTAAACCAGTTATATTGTGGCCCAGAGGAGTATCTTGACTTTTTTGTGAAAGGAAAAGAGAATTTCTTTCCTACAATTACCAAGTCGGGGTGTAACTTTTAAATGTAAACCTAGAGAGTTCTGATCCTTTTGTAATAACTCTGTTTGTATGTAGATTACCTTTCTCTATACTGTGAGTTTTGAGTGTGGTTTCGATCTGGTAATTTTTTTTTTTTAATTCAAAACAAGTTAATAAATCTTTTTCAGAAGTTTTCTTTACTTTTGTGGTCCAGAATACTGATATCCCAGAAGCTACTCTACCAGAACCTTTTCAACAAAGAAATAGCTTGATTTGTGAGGACTTGCCTGTAGATCCTTCTATACTCTCATCATCAACTTCGGATCAAAATCAACATCTATTACAGGAATGTCAGCCATATCCTTTAAAAAGGCATTTCTCAAAGAATAATGCTGTGTCAGAGACAGAAAATAACGTTGTAACAAGTCCAATTGGTCAGTCACATCATTCATCTGATTGCTTGGAAAATGAAGGAGGTGAAGGTGGCAGTGAATGGCAGAAAAAATGTACTACTTCATATTTGAAATCTGATAGCACAAATGATCAGGACATGGAAAAAGGACAGCAGAATGAATCATGTTCTATGGGATTCCAATGTAGTGTTGTTAATACACCAGCACGTCTGATTTGCTCTCCACAGTCTGTTAGTTGTGGTAGTTATGAAAGCTCTCATCTCAAGATTGCCTCATCCACAGATATGTTAACGACAGAGACACCTGCTCAGTCAACACCTAGAAGATTGGCACCCAGTTCTGATGTTAAACTTGAGATTATGACCACCCAGAATTCAATCTCATGCAATAAGCATGTAAAAAGAGTTCTTTTTTCACATGAAGGTGATTATGATGGTGACAAGTTAGAATCAAGTAGAGATGCTTGTGATAACATCCCTGAAGATGGACGAGCATGCACTGAGGATTTTAGTGTTTCTAATTTTGTTGTTCTATCTCAGAAGGTATGCCTTCTGACCCTACTCCTATTTTTTAATTCTTCAAGGCATGGTATACTTCCGGAAATCATTCATAATTCCATGCAATGATTGCTTTTTTTATATACAACAGAAAAGTTGCAAATAAAACTTTTCTATTTAAAATTTTGTAGACTTTACTTTTTAGGTATTATTGAGTGAGCATGTACTCCTTTTCCGTGTTGTTCATAGATGCTGGTATTTTGTTCATTTTGTATCTTGATCTTGGTTCATCTCAAACCTAGTGTACCTTGGTGGGATTAAAAGAATAAATAAAGTTCAGTGTTGGTTGAGTTGATCATCTTCGTGTTATAAGAAGAGTGAGGGACATACTAAACAATGTTAGCCCATATTCTATTTTTCTCTGCTTAAAAAAAAGATAGAGAATGGGGCAGTTGTA